CTCCCAAAACTCGGCCCAAAATTTTGGCTCTGGATATTCGGAAATCCACAGACTGAAGCCGAAATGCGATTAAACTTTACGGATTACGATAAAACTGTCCCGGACGGAAGATTTCCAGTCCAAACCCAAAATGTTATACTAAAAAATGTCCACGATCTTTTAAAAGTCCGATGTCGTGGGTAACACAGCTTATATTTTTAAAGACGAAGAGGAGGTTCGCAAAAACTAATTTGGATGCCCAAATAAGCTATTCTACGCGGACGAAGTCGCTAACACAGCTAGTATAACGATAAAATGAGTTCAAACAAACGAATGAATCCGCGCGGGCCTTTTATATCCTCACACGAGTGAATCAACATTCGCTCATACTAAACGTTGTAATTACACGTTCAGTTGACTCGTGGAAGAAATTGCACCTTCACACCCCGACTTAATTATGCGATTCTGAACTTAAATTCGTAATTTATGCAAATTCTAAAGGGATCGCCGTAAAGGAGCACGGGTAATATTTATTCTGCTAACTTTACACTTACGTAAACTTCTGTAAAGCTGGGTACTCACTTGCATACGATGTGACTGCTAAGGGTTTTGGTGTGTACACTACAATAATTCTACTAAGTTTATATCTGAAGTTAGCTGTGCCAGCGGATGTCGCCCGCGTATAATAGTTATTTTAAACAGAAAAAATGTTTTTTCCCCCCTCCCCGTCTTTATAGATAGCAGTTACCCACGACGTCGGTAACGTCCCGTCGTTCTTGCAACATAATATTGAAAAAAAGACATACTGATGCGGACGTTTTTTTTAGATAATTTAAAGAAAAATATTCTTTCATAAATATTTTTGGCTTCTTCAACTTAAAATAATTTTCCCCTTTCCCTACAAGTAGTAGTTCTCCTTCAAACAAATCTAAAGCACTATACTATATTACTATATCTGCTTAACAGGTATCAGTAAGCTTTATCTATAGTAAACACGTATTTTCCCTTTGGACTCTCGGAAATCCACAGACGGAAAACGCGGATTTACCCTACTTATATGTAGGTATTGTATTAATTTATTTATTAAAGTTCAATTTACAGATTCTAACTTGGTCCTGAGATGCACGTTGTAAGTTGAAAAAAAATCTTATAAAATTAACTCGTAACAACAACGCTTGATTGGGTAACAAGCTATAAACTAAAAAGCTGAGGAGATTTTAGCAAACATAAATAATATGATGCATAGAAAACGCGGACGAAGTCGCAGCCAGAGTTAGTATGAGATAAAATGACTTAAAATATTTGAATAAAGACTTTTAACGGTTAAAATAATATGTTCGGTATCTTTTTTTTATTTAGGCACGACAGAATGTTGGACTTGATGGGAAAAAAACTCACTATCTCTTGCATATCCATACACAAAACCGAAGCCGTCGATTATAGTTACAAATCGCTAGTGAGTACCCAGCTCAACGTTTTGAAATTCTCAACTCCATATGAGGTAATACCATAAAAGTTTATTAAAGTTAAGTGTATAGGTAAGGGTCGAAACAGATCCTTATCGTGTACGCCTTTGTTTATTTCGGTCGTTACGGTTCATCTGTGGTTTAATATTACGCGAAGGTATTATATCGAATCGCTTATTGCTACGCCTGTAATTTCAAGTAATTGGATCTCTAAGAAAACGCTCGTTTGAATACTTTTCATAATCCTTATATCATGTTTCATCTATAATAATATACAAGGTTATTCTTTGTTGATACTAAAGCTGAAACACGCCAAACGTCGTTTTATTCGCAAAGACGGTGACACAGCTAGTTTCTATATAATTATAACTTTTCTTTGATTTAGGTCGATAGCGCCAATACACAAGGAAAATATCAAAGTTATGCCTTAACGGTTTTGACAACAAATAACCCTTTTGACATATAGAAACTACTTAGAGAAGGTTTTGTATGGGGTACTGATATAGAAAATGTTTATATTATTTTCACGTATGTTAATGCATATAAAAATGTATATTTTTTTACAATACCACCAATCTATGACAAGATTGGGATTCAAACACACAACCAGCGTAACATCCTGTTATTACCTATTTACTATAATACTTTTTATATCCATATAACGTTCGTTACACACTTGGTATCTTCAAAGCTACAATCGGAGGATGGTAAAATAATTTCTCTTTAAATATCGTGAACTCACTACTACGCATTATCTATACTTCTATATCTATAGTAATCTAGTAAAAGTAACTCTGTCTGTCCGGCTTTAACTCTTAAACTATTGAACTGATTTTAATGAAATTTGGTAAACAGATATTTTAGAGCCTGAGAAAGGACATAGCCTACCTTTTAATGCTAAAAAAAAGGTTGATGGGGCTTGAAAAAGAGGATGAAAGTTAGCATGGAAATTCGTGGTTTTTGAAGCTAGAACAATGAAACTTTCTTCGTTGGCTTTTTGGGAATAGGAGTGGGAGTGAGACTGAGTGTGGGAATGAGAGTGGGGGTTAGAGTAGGAGAGATGTGAGGTGAGAGTGATGCAGCAAAGTAGCACTTAGAACATAGATTGGCTGCCTTAAATGCGCCCTTACATAATTTAATAAACAGCCTGAATAATTAAAAATTCTACCCCAAGTTACTATTCCACGCGGACGAAGTCGCGGGCACAACTAATATTCTACATTTGGGTTGTAGTCTAGAATCAAACCTTAAAAAACCCTACAATAAATTTAGCTTCCAACCACAAGCCCACGTGCTAAAAATACCTTATATTTTATTTAAATATATATTTAATTAAAGTCATCGAGCAATTAAACAATAACAATAAAGGTAATATGTACACTTATTTAAATTAAGCTTAACTTAAGGTAGATTTAATGTTATAACCTTTTCCGTAATATAAATATTCACATTTTAAACAAACCTCAATATATGTTCTATAAAAGAAACTCACCGAGCAGCAAGAATTTCGACCTTGTTCCATTTCCGTGATAATTTAAATACCTGAATTCCTCAGCTCTGCACAGCAGACCCAAATAAACGGTTGAAAATTATGATTATAAATATGCATGTAAAGAGGGTCCGTACAAGAACGGGCATTTGAAACATTTTAATTTTTTCATCCTAGCGAAATAAGGCCGCAAATTCACAATTATCCGCCGACAACCATCTTAACTTCGTCGTGTTTTAATCAAGCTGGGAAGGTAAATCGCCCGACCATTACTGTTTGGCCCAAGGTACAAGAGCTAGCGGTTTCTATTTATCTTTAAACGTAACTAAAAACATACGTTTTTATTTTATATATATGATGAGGGATACCTAGTACAATTTGAATTATAATGCAATTAAAGTCGAAGGTTTCTTGTCTTTCTATTAATAAGTTTGTGGGACATACATAAGTTGCACCTTAGTAGTAGAAGTCGAATGTCGTCTGCAACGTTGGACGTCAATATTAACTTTACGTGAATCTTCCGAAATTCGTAAAAACAAATTACAAAAATACATAACAACACCAAATCTCCTATACCGTAATCTAGTTGTCCTACTCGCCTATAGTATAGTAGTAACAATACTATTAACATTAGTTCTATAGTTTAGACAAATTTTACAATAGTCTTACGTACTAACACTAAAAAGAAGTTTGATACAAACAGAGGGCGCTAGCGTCAAAGTTTTAGATTTTGTCCTCATTACAATAACCCGAACCGTTTTTGAATGATAGTTACATGGACGGCTACCTGCAGCCGCGAGCACACGTGCCCACCGTCGTGCTAAGCCGTCTTTTTTGGATAAAAGATCCGCTTGGCCGAAGTATGGAAAGCTACATCCAGTAGCTACCGCCGTCGTCCTCGAACCGATCGCCTCGAGCTGGGTCGCTTGCGGGCTGGCTAGGGGTCCGGAACGAGTTCGACGGCTTAGGGCAGTGCCTGTAGGCCCACCGTACTTCGGCTGAGCGCGTGCCGCGCAATCCGAAGCACCGTTTCTTCACCACATTATCGACGCCAGGACAAACGAGCGCACACCATGCTGCGCGGGTATATCGGCGGGCCGCGGTCTGAGGCTGCGGCCGCGATATAACCTTTCCCATCACCGGACACGACGCCGGGGCGCGGCTAACCCTACGGGCGCGTCTTCGCGGCGACCATCCGCTGGCTACGTTTCCTCGGGCCAATCCCAATAAAGGGTACACTTATTTAAATTAAGCTTAACTACGGTGATGGTTTAACTGTTTCCGGCGGGACACATGTGCAACGAGCCGCATATATGTCGCGCGCCGCCCGCGCCCCCACACGGACACGAAGATCGTCTGCCAGCTTCGAGCTTCCAGCCTCAAGCTTCATTGTTTCATCGAGATACGTCGCCCTGTACCCAGTTGTGACGCCCATTCCCGAAGGAGGACGCGGAGGAGAGGATCCCTTCACGACGCGTCGCAGCGAAGGCGAGTCTGCGGTTCGTGCTACGCGAGCGTGCTCGTTCCCGATTGACGTTGTCGGGGACCTCGCCGCTCGCGCCCTAGGCCGCAACCCCTTCAAGCGACAACAACACCCGAAGAAGACCCACAGGTGGCGGCCACCGCTTCTCGTGTCTCCATATGCCGGGAGTTGCGATTTCGGCCGATCACCCTCCCTGGCCCTAAGGAAGCCGCATGCGCTGCCGCGCGGCTGTGTAGCCCTCGCGCGGGTTGCTAAAAGCACACGGTGGCAGGTGTGCGCCGGTATGACGGCCCCCTCGTCCAGGGCCCGTCCCTGTTGCCAACTAAGTCGCACCCGTCCCTTGCCTCCGATTAATAGCCTGCTGGGACCGCCGTGCCATGCCTGCTCTACCCGACGCAAATATGCCATTGAAGAAGAAGAAGCACCTTAGGACACGGTGTGCGCGAATGTCGTCTGCCCGTGTCCTGGACGCCAATGCTGCCGTTGACAGGATCGTCGGGGTGTAGAAAGAAAGTACAAAAATACATAACATCCCCAACTCACCCGTAGCGTGCAGCATCCAGGTCGTCGGTACGCGCTTAGTATGAAGCCACCAACGTCACCACCGGCAAGAGCTGCCATGTGCAGACAAACTTTACGACAGTCTTACGTAGCAACGAGCACAAGATACCCGCCACCACCAGAAGGCGCAATAGCGTCGAACAGGATTAGCCTGCGCCCGCATGAAGCGGTAACGCAGAGACAGTTTTTGAATGATAGTTACATTATAGTTCAATGTACTTATAGGTAAATACGCTAACTACAAGCTATTATCAAAATAATAATGACAAAAGCGCGTAGAAACAAATCTGTCACTTTTAATCAAACAATATTTCCATACGTCAATTAACGCACATGTTACAATTCCCTAATGTTCGCGTTAAACATGTTTAATGTATATTACTTACATGATATAACATAAATCGTTCTACGGATACATACTGTATTTTTTTAATTTTTCCTTTTGTTTTTTTTTTTTTTTTTTACATTGTTACAGGTCTGTATCTGTACTAATATTATCAAACTGAAGAGTTTTTTTGTTTGAACGTGCTAATCTCAGGAACTACTGGTTCGAATTGAAATATTATTCTTAAATAAAAATTATAGTGAAATAAAAAATAACTCTCCTTTTTCCATGAAAACTATTGTACCTACATATAATTTATGTGATTGTATTTTATTGTAGGAGATTTGCCGTCGTTTATGACTTGTACCACTAGCATGGGGTAAGGTACAATACGTGTTTACAGAACAAAATAGGTTGGCGATAAGAATATTAATTTTTATGCTTCATTTTAATTTTTAAAAGACGTGATTTTCCTAGAGCACAGTTTAGCTTAGCTTTTAATAACACTTGCATTGGTTACATCATAAGAGTTTTAAAAAGTTTGTTTTACGTCTCACCAAAATATGGATAAGTTTTTTTTTAAATTAATCAACTAATATTGATGCTATCTGTCATTTACACGAGAGTTTGTATTGAATGTAAACTTTAAAATAAATTAAACTAATATATATCGCGTTTAAAACTGTTAAAGTTTTTTATAAAATTGATTATTTAACCATATTTTTTTATTTAATCTTGAAATATGGCAATACTGGTCAGTCTTCGTTAACGGGGTATAAAAAATATAGATTTTCAGCTCACTCGCGCGTAAAGCTGGGGTTTTCAAATAAACGGGGAATAACCGCGGCTTAATCAAAATGCTTTCAAGCAGAATTGAATACGCTTGAATGAACATTTCGTATCGTTACAAACTAAGGTTTCTTGGAACGCTAATTTTTGTTCATTGTTATTGTTAATCCCTTGAATGGCTTTATCCGACTGAAATTACCGATATATTATTCATGATTACTGCCGGATATTATGAGAGATGTTTGTGAGTCTAGGTATAATGGGTATAGCTGTTTACCTGCGCAAACAAAGTCCGAGAGACCTGAAAAAACATAATTGAGATCTGACTGACCACAACTCAGCATCTTTCTACAAACCTTTTGCCTCTAAAGCAGTGCTAGGCAAAATTTTTTACCATCTGGCTACAGAGGAAAAACAAACGTATAGCAACGAATTAAATAAAACACTCGTAATGTTATAAGACGCGAAACGAATTAAGTTGCGAAATTTTTTGGTATATGACAAGTTAGTATGTCGCATTTTAAACCGTTAAAAGTGTTTTATTAAAATATGTACTCGCGTAAACTACAGATAATACTTGTACCTACAATATTTCTTAATAGTCCTCTCTAACTGTCGCTATTCTACCATTTCCAATTGAACCATCCATTGTCGTATGTCTTTTGACTTGTGTTTCTTTTATGAAACCATGTCTTCATAAAAGACACACAAGGGGGATAGTGGACAGATCTCTTAAGCCAATCTGTGACTTCATTGAAACGCAGCCCGCACTCAGTAAATAGATTGAGGAATCGCATAAACCCGAGTGTAACTGTTAACGAAATTAGAGCCTCAAGTAACGAGGTGGGCTTACCTCTTTAATCAAATTTGATACGGGGCTTGTCTTGTATAGGCCCTTTGGGTTAAAAGTGTACCCTAGATGTAATTAAAACGGACGGCTTCCCTTGAATTCAATTAGGATTACATTACTTTTGACTTTAATTCTATTGTTCATTGGTTTTGTAAAATGAAAAGTCATGGGTTATAATGTTTACAGTGCTTTGGTTTCTCTGACAGAAGACAATACACAGTAATTGATTTTTAGAAATGAGAAAAAAGCTTGACAGATTAATGAACCTGTCATAAACTACCTTGTCATAAACGAAACTAAATGAATCGATTTTAGATTGAAAACAATTTACGATACGGGCAGGACTCGAACTTGTTGCTCTAATAAATTTAGCTACCGAGTACTGGGTACCGATTAATCTATATAGTGCCATCGTGTGAAAAAATATTAATGTTATATACTAGGATGTTATAAGGCTATAAGGATGTTAGAAGCAACAACCGTTTCTTACTATTTTTAACCGTATCTCGTTCCTAATATTCAAATTCACTTACCACCGTTCATAGAATGATAAAACAAAAAAGTCTATAGCATGTTCTAAGATCAACTCAAAGCGTGTGGACTTCCTTCGTCCATCCATCTTCAAATATCTCACGCTTATTTGTCAGTGGATGTCATAAAAAATAAGCAAACTTTTCTCTAGAACATTATGTACAAAGGCCGGGTAAAGCTGATAAAATATTATAAATGATTCAAAGCATTTATGGAAAATTCTTAGTAATAAAACACTGAAGCCTTCAAGTTCAACGTGAATTTGAGACGATATAAACGATTTAATAACAAGAAAATTCAGCTGGCGTAGTCTGCACGAGATAAAAAGGGTTGGTACAGTCGGCAACGAAATTTTTATACAAAATTTTTATGTTATTCTTTTTTTAAATAAAAAATGGAGGGAATTTAATGTGATATTTTTTTGAACTAATCACTCCTAAGGATTTAAAATGCCGATTATATTCGTCAATTTATTTTTCATTAGCCCTATTATCGTCGGGTCAATACAGAACCTGATCAATACTGACGTGATCATGATCATAAAGGTACTGTTAAGTTTTAGTATTAGAATTTAGTTTAAAATAAATATATTTTAATGTATTAAATATTAAAATATATTTATTTTAAACTAAATTATAATAATTAATGATTTAATTTGAATAAAGTTATTTACTTATGAAATGTATACACATTTACATTTACTTGTGAACTGTTTGACATAATATCTTACGAATCCAAATTACAAAACAAATAAACCTAAGTAAAAATGCTTTTTTGAAATCTTCCCTGTCCTTTCATATAATCGCGTTATATCGTTTTAAAAAGTAAATACATCTGGAAATATACTTAAATCGATGTGAGAATGTATACTTATAAGTGTTTCATTCCTTCTTACAATACATAAATATTGTTTGTATAAAATATGTATAACATTTTCTTCTGCAACCACACTTAACGCTTTCTTTATTGATATTTCTATAGCAAAAGGCTTTTGTCTAAGTTAAAACACATGTCTTTTGTTTTATAATGTCTTCGAATACTCATTAAGTTGACAAACGTGAGAGGACACAAGTTATCAGACATCCTAAAACTGAATTTGTTAGTTACAAAGAGCAGTAACGAAACTTAGACTTTGGAAGGCAAAGTTTACCTTCACGTGTCGTTTAAAATGTGAAAATTAATTAGATCGTCTGCTCTGCGAAAAGGGACTTTACTGCTCCGTCATAAAGTCGAACATCGATCAACACCGTGTTTAAGTTAACGATTTCACAAGCGAAGCCAGTGTTTCTCCGTGTCGAAATGAGAGATAATTTATTATCGCGGCCGCATTGCCCCTGTAAATTATTTTATTTGCGTCACATAAATAAGCATGTTAAATTTTAAGCGCTCGCGTGACAAGTTTGGGTTGCACTTCTGCTATTATTTTAACAAAGGATTTATAATTAATCTTCCGAATTACAGGTTTAAACGCCTGGTTTGTTATCTATAGTAATATTATAAAGAGGAATGATTTGTATTTTTGTATGTAACGGATAAACTCAAAAAGTACTGGACTGATTTTAATAATTATTTTTTCATTAGATAGCTACATTATCACTAAAAAACATAGGTTATATTTAATACTTCATTACTATAGACATCTATAGAAATTCTTATTAAAATCAACGGAAGGCGTAAAAAAATTAGCCATAAAATATCTTTCATCGGATACGCTGCGAAAAGTATTAATGATAGGACAAAAAAATGTACGACAATATTATAGAATATATCAATATCTACAAAAAAACATCGCCAGAGCATATGTCTAACTATTGTTGTTACGTCGCTATAACTACTTTTTTTAAATTTAACAGATTGATAAAAATGGCGATCAAAATCAGACCATGTTATCAATACCATTCATAAATTTTATATAAATAAATAATTTAATATTCAAGACTGTCTGAATACCTGATGATTACTTTTTAAATTATTGAAATCGGACATGCTATTCAAAAGATATCATGAAATTAAAATAAAAATATATGCTGGCGGCGGCCCCACGCCGCGCATCGAGTAACTAATTCGACGATAGAGGGGCAGTGGGCTCCTTACGCAGTGGACGCGAACGATATTGAATATTCCGATTTTTTTTTTTAACATTTTGATGCTTCACTTAAAAAGTTCTTTTCAAAGCTACTTAGTTTTAGTATTAGGAATCACACTTTGCATAATGTTTGTCAAAGTTCTTTTCAGAACTATCGCTTAAACTTGAATATTTTCTTTTGTATTATTATTTTATATTATATATTATTAGCTTATTCTTAATTTCTCTGATTTAAAATAATCATCCTTCATAGCAATATGCCTAGAACAAGAGGGTCGCAGTTATCTAAGAATAGTTTCTAAGCGATATTAGCAGAAGTTCGTCGTATTGGTGAGTCTTCTTCCTAAAATGATCGTCCGAAAATTTAATAAACATAATATAAGAATTCAAAAAAAAAATAATACTATATCAATGGCTGTTCAGCCCCTTGTGGTCCCTAGCCTCTTCTAGTCGCTGCTAAATCTGGACGCCCAAGGTAAATTGAAATAAAGAAAATTATAGTCCACTCAGCTACGTCGGGACTTATGCTCCAATTGATTTTTTTCATTGATGTTCTGTGGCCTCTAGTTAAAAGTTGTCTGTTGTTTATTGAAGTATTTATGCTTATAGTAAAGTAAATACTTCTACAAACAATGTTCCATTGGAGTTAAAAAAAATTGGCTTAGAATAGCCTCTTGCTAAAGAAATATAAATGAAAAAAGCATTATAAACTTTGGTTGAAGGAGTATTACATATTTATCGTAGGTATTTACAAAAAACGATTTAAAAGGCGAAGTATATCAGTGATCGATAGCCAAATCGAAATGTGAAGCCGGTATTAAAAGAAATGGTAAATAAGTTAACTGCTACATTTCGCGTTTCAAGACACAGACTAACTACATCCGTTTCTGCGCCGACACTATCCAGTAAATTACATAGTCCTACTGTTTCTCTTACTCTGTGCCGGATAGGCTCAAGACTTTATTACCAATCAAATTAATTTTACTAAGTTGACGCGGATTAAGTTACCCATTGATCTCTTGACGGCCTGTAATTGGGTTTCTTTGATCTTCACATCAAATCATCGTCTCGAAAATAGATACTTCATTCTTGTGAATTGAAAGATAAAAGATGCTGT